CGTCTTCCTCGTCGTCGTCTTCGTCCTTGACTGCCCGCCTCAGGCTCTCCCTGGGCATGAGCGCCGTCCTCCCCTCCTCCTGCTGCTGCTGGCGCTCCATTGGCTCGTGGTTCTCCACCTTTCTCGTGGATCGGCAGAGGGCTTTCCGAAAACCCCTCTTGAAGTTGTCTGACAAGAAGCCGTAGACGATGGGGTTGGCGCAGCTATTAGCATAGCCGAGCACTACGACAAAATAGTAAAGACCCTGGTACTCTGGGGGTAGGGACACCAGCAGGTTGATGATGTTGAGGGCGTAGAATGGTAGCCAGCAGAAGACAAACACGGCAACAACGATCACAACCATGCGTGTCACTTTTCTCTCCGACTTCCTTCGCTTGGTTGAGGTGGCGTGGACTTTTTTACCTGAGCTGCGGATCTTGAAGACGATGAGCAGGTAGCAGAGGCAGATGATAAGAAGAGGACAGAAGAATCCAACCGTGGAGGTGTAAATGATGAAAGCCGCCTCCCAGATGTTGGCCGGCTGTGGCCAGGCAATGTTACAGGTACCTCCCGCTTTCTGGATGTTAGCAAAGATGACCACAGGTAAAACAACGAGAAACGACAGAGCCCAGACAGTCCCATTCACTATTTTGGCCACCTGAGGGCGCCGCCACTTTGAAGACCGAATGGGGTGGACTACAGCGAGGTAGCGATCGATACTCATCACAGTCAGGCAGAAGATGCTGGTGAACTGGTTGATGGAGTCGACAGTCATGACCAGACGGCACATGAAGGACCCAAACGGCCACGACTGGAGGGTGTTCTGAACCGCCAGGAAAGGCAGACCAAGCATGAAGAGCTCGTCAGCAATAGCTAAGTTGAGTATATAGATGTTGGTCACTGACTCTATCTTCGAGTAGTGCAGCACAATGTGAATCACTAAAGTGTTTCCACCCAGGCCGATGATACAGACGATTATGTATATGAGTGGGATGAGGACCCCTGCCACGCTGGGACCAGAGGAGACATCCGGGGCGGCAGTGGCGTTGGTGGAGTTAAGCAGCGTCTCATTCAGATCGCTGTCGTTGAACATGAGCAGAAACAGGGGGACTGCAGGTGAGGGGCTGGCAAAGCTGCTGTTTTCCCACATCTCATCCATCATCTCCAGCCCGGGGAGCGAGACGATGCCCATGGATGTGCTCTCTGTCGCTTTGTCCCTCTCAGCTCCCGCCCATCTGTTCTGTTGGAGGAGAAAAATCAAAAAGGTCACTAACCGAATAGTTGACATTTTCTATGTTTTATCTGTACTGACATGAAAAGAAATGAAAACATATTTGATTTGCAAGTGCATTAAAAAGTGTTTTCTTACAAACACAATTAGCTCACTTTCAGTGCTTGAATGCTGTTGACATGAAAAGCACATGAAAAGCACATGAAAAGCACAAAAACTTTGAAAAATGTTGGCACATTTCAGCATTTGACTGTGTTCTAATAAAAGATTTGAGGTGTTTGTGGCGCAGTCTAAGTAGTTTCTGTTGATATAATACGATTTTGAGGGACATTTGGTTCTTTTTTGTAGCCAGACCTTCAATGTTTTTTAAAGGACCTCTTAGCTGATAAAGAAACAGAGCTTTCAAAAAGTATTGAACTTTTGAATATTTCCTTAATTGTAAATTATATAAATTACATAAAATCTACCCAAATGTTGTGACTACAAACACTTAAGCAGGGTTTTTATTAGCATTTATAATTACAAAGAAAATTTCAATGGCATTATTGCTCCTAGTGCTTCTTTTTCATGTATTTGACAGCTTTGGCTCAAACTTTACAACAGAATTTCAGTTTGCAAAACCCAAAATGAAAACATTTTTAGCAAATGCATCACAACATTGTGTATGTTTATCATATGATTTTAATCTTTGTCTGTCAAACAGCAACTAATTCTCATCAACAGAGTATGCAATTATAATTTTAATTTTACAAATAGTAACAATAAAAAAACAAGCAATTTTTTTGCTTTAAGTGTGTGTAGATTAATAATGACTTGAAGAATGAAAACATTAATTTTACTTACTGAATGTGCTGTTTTACTGTAGATATACATATTGTAGTCTAAAGTCTGACTTTACACTGTAGTAAATGATTGTGACTGACAAAGATTGTTTTTTATTTAAGACACAAAACCTTCTTTCAATCACTTGTAAGTTTCATTATCTAAATTACAAGCTGATATGCAGAATAACATATAACATTAAAACATACAGTATTTTGTGGTAAGTGAGAATTTAGCAAATCAGTTTGGTTCTTTGCACATTGAAACTCTGTTGTGAGAACTGAGCCAAAGCAATCATAAAATACTGTAATGTCCGATCCTGATGACCATCAACATGTTTACAATGAAAAACACAGGAAGCAGGTAAAGATAACAGTCAGAGGACGAGCAGTGGAGACAAAAAGAGAAATAACAGGATACAGATAAAATGATGAAAAGCAGATGGGATAAAGGTGGATATGAGGTGATGAGTCAGACAGGAAGCAATTAAAGCCGGGTGAAGATGTGTGTTTGCAGGTACATTGATATGACCTAGCAGCTATATTTGGTCCTATTGATACAGCAGGCAAATTAAACAAAGTGTTTTCCCACACATGGGCCGTGCTGATAATTGAAATTTCATTAGCAACCCAGCAGCACTCTGGTGAACATGAACTGGGAACACACAGGGAGAGGACAGTCAGCTGTATGAGACTTAGTGGAGGTGAGAGTGTGGTCTCACCTCCTGTAAACACCTTCTATCCCAGTGACTACTGAAGCAACAGCTGGTACACTCACCAACACATTCACACAGTCACGTTAATAATAAAAAAAAAACTAAAGTAGAGGCTGGTTAATATTAGCAATACTAGCAGTGTGGAGGGATGGAAATGTTGGTCTGTCCACCACTTTGGTCCAGATTGACAACAACTTTTAGACATATGTCATGAATTTAGCTGTACATACTTAGCATGCTAACATGCAAAAATAAGCTGGTGAACATGAGGTGTGTTTGAAATCACATACTAATGTAATACATGCTCAATCAGTATGTACTGCATACTGCCTACTGAAGGAACAATAAAGTATGTCGACTGTTCACACTGGAGTATATTCAAACATACGTCTTCTCTGCATCACATGTATCGCAATCACAACAAGCTCAGACACAGCGCTGTGGAAACTGATCATTACATTACCGGTCTGAGCTGCTGTTGGTGAAAATAGTTCATCACTAATGTAAATCAACAACTCTTACACTATTCGAGAAAAATACAGACCTGCTACTAGTCCCATGCAAATATGGCTTTAGTTTACATTTCTTCACTGATGTAGTCATTTCCCCAAACATTAAAACTGATATATCCATTAAACATATAGTAAGCCAACACTATTTGGAGTGTGACAGCACACCATTAAGGCATATAAGCTTCTCATTTCATTTCACTCTTCACTGACTACACAGCTGGAACATAATACATATCATATCACAATAAAAGCACAAAGAGCCCCATTTCAGAAGAATATCATATTTCTGACCATCTCTTTTTTTCAAAATGTCTGATGTTGCTTTCAGAAAATCAGCAGTGAGAAAAACACAGATGTGCGCTGGGCTCACTGATAGAGTTCATCAAACAAACCAACTGAAAGGTTATTGTCACCTCAATGGCGACAGCTGCAAAGTCTATAAAAAAGGCATTCAATCTATCTGCCTTCCTGGATTCCAATTTAAAAGACACATGAAAAAAAAGCATCAACAACCTGAAACAGCGTAAAAAAGAAAAATCATCAAATGTACTCCAATGTCTTTTTATGAGCCCCAGAGGAGTTTCTCTCATCTCAGCACATTGTCACATTAATCTTTTTTTAATATCTCCAAATCCTTGTGATTACGGACATTTCACATTCAATTTGGCAATTTGGATCACCATGGAAACCACAGAAAGAGAAAACTCGGAGCTCAGTGTCGTAAATCAAACAGAACCAAATAACTGGCAACACATGGCTGCAAAACAAGAATAGATTCTTCTCTTCTCTTTTGAAAATGTTTCAAAGAGAAAAAGAAAACACTGCTGGTCCTTGGTGATGAATGAGCGATACAGTAAAATAACAGGTTGAGTGTGAGCGTGGTGCTTCATGCAGCCACTGAAGGACTATTTCATAACCTTGGATCCATATATTTGCTTCCAATTCACTGTTCACTTTAATTAAACATACATTTTTGACCAATTACTACAACAAAAAACCAAGTTTCTCTTCCATGACAGCTACAATGTGCAAAACTGCAATTAAGTTTTATTTGTGATGCTCCTTTGCATTTATCACTGGTTCAAATATAATTTTCTCCCACCACTGATTAGGTGCTGTGCGTCATCCTACCTTGCAGGACTGTGCAGATTTTTACAAAATCTGTCCCTGTTGTCTCTTCAGCCGTGTTTTCCACAACAGCTCTGGCAGTGTGTATGCAGATTTTATTTGGTTAGATTGTAATATAATATAATTCATGTTTGAAGATAAACCTTTGTAATATTGATAACCTCTTTTTGTTTTGCCTGCATATTCATAATGTTCTTAAAGGACCAGTGTGTAGGATTTAGTGTAATCTGGCAGTAAGATTGCAGATTGTAACCAACTGAAATCCCTTGTTTCAACCAAGGATGAAGGAGAAACTGATGCAATGCAAAATACTTTATCCAGAGCCATGTTTGGTTTGTCCATTCTGGGATATTGTAGAAACTTAGGCTGTACCTGACTCAGATTTCTGTCAGTCAAATCAGATTTAGCTGTTCGATACAAAGGTTTGACTTTGCATTCTTCTTTTTTTTTTTCCAGGTTTTTCAATTAATATGATCCCTGATCAGTTTTCCCACTAAATAATCTGTATGGGTGGGAGAGCAACATGATAGACTTGTTCATGCTTCATGAAAGCGATTCATCCGTGTGTTTTTGTCAGTATAGGATAGCTGCTGGTAGCTAGCTGTTGCTGCTAACTGACACCGTTTTAACTTAAATGGAGCGAAGGTATATGCGCATCTCTCCCCAATATCTCTATGTAAACATATCTGCGGGGAGTGATGAGGTGAGGAGCCTAGACACCAAAATCTAAATATGTTATACTGCTTTAAAAAACATGGAAATAAATTGACTTGACTTGTTTTGGTTCCTCATCCAGTGTTTCACATTTACAATGTTTCACATTTACACTCGATACTCACTCACATCTCCCAAATTGCCCAGTATGTGTGTTTGCATCCACCTAGTTTTTTTCATTGTTTGCCATGTTGACATTATTATCATTTAACAGACTAAACAATCAATTAACTGATAGATTAACTGATAATGTAAATAATTGATAGTTGCAAAAAATAAAAAGAATTACTAACTTATAATTATTATTGGCAATAAACAAAATTCTGATTCTGATATAAGATCAGATGAATAACCCCATCTGAAAATAAATCTCCTTCAAACCGTAATTTGAGTGCAGCTCTAAGATCAAAGTTTGATGCCTCAGAAAAAAACAATTAATCAAACTCCCTGTCTGCATCTTTCATCTCAAACACCCTGAAGTTTAATATCAATGTAGTATTTGCCATATTTCATTCTGCCTCATTAATCTTCACATTAAAAAGCCTGGGACCTTTCAGGCCTCTCAAACCTCCCTGAAAGGAGAAATCCATTCAGTTTGTAAATTGAGGTTCTGAACTGCTGCGAGTGTCACGCAGGAAAGAGACATCCTTTGATCCAAATGTCTCCTCCTCGTCGCTCTTTCTTAAATGACATGAGGGGAGGGGGCGTGTTTCTGCACAGAACAATCAGTGCAGACCGTGTGACCAACACAGCAACGCAGCCATATAGCAATCAATATCTGTCTGCAGTGCTTTAACTGAGAGGCAGAAAACTTTTTGTCAACAACATCTGAAAAATGAGGACACCCAGGCTAAAATTACATGTGATCTATATGTGACTCCTCTGATGTCCGCTGCTTTTGATTGGTTAACAGCATGAGCTGTATCAAGGACTTATCTCTTGTGTTCATGCTGTTACCAGTGACACATTATTCCACTTTATCTACTGATTCACTCTGGACATTTTTTAAATGCCTCGCTTGAGCGATTGTAACAAACGCAAAAATTTTAAATGGTTTACACACATTTGAA